CAGAGACGAAGCATAACGTAATTTAATTAGATTTTCCCCTTACTTCGTTCGTTCTAATTTAATCTCGTTCCACTAGGTTCTACATTCATTGCAATAAGGGCCCCACGGCACTCGTCCGCGTTCTCCTCCGCGTTCTCCTCCGCGTTCTCCTCCGCGTTCTCCTCCGCGTTCTTTGTTTTCATATCGTCGAACGGATAAGCATGAGCCGCGATAGATCTCGACGGACGTTCCACGTGCCAGTAGCTTAATTGCTCAGGGATTCGTGCTCTTTATACCTGTTAAACCGCGAATCTGCTCACACAAAGCAGTATTTTAGCTTATAACCTAATTTAGAAGTAAGTTTCTAAGACAAGATCGAGCCAATAAAATATAACATTTCATAAAGCTTCGCGCCGTTTCTGTAGTCGTAGAGGCAATTCCGCGACACCGTGTTGTATAATTAATTCGCGCGTAAATCGAATTTATGAATTGGACGATCCACGCGAATTATCGTCGGCTGTGGTATCTCTGTTATTGCTTTATCGTGTATTATAGATAGGCAGCGGGAACTTTCTATTTCCTCCTCGTTTGAAATTCGAAGTACGTTCTCCCGGAGATTTGTGCGAGTCGATCGAAGGGGGTGAACAGACAGACTATAGTTTCTCTCTCTCTTTCTCTCTCTCTCTTTCTCTCTCTCTCTCTTTTGCACTCGCAGAGAATCACTAGATTGAGCTCGCTTCGTACAAACTTGTTTTACAAAGAGAAAGAAGAAAGGAAATGAAGAGGGAGAGGAGGATTATAAAGGAGAACAAAGGGGGATGAAGAGGGTGGAAAAGGAGGAAGTGCAAGTGGTGGTGGAGGAGGAGGAGGNGGTGGAGGAGGAGGAGGTGGTGGAGGAGGAGGAGGAGGAGGAGGAGGACTACAAAGAGAATCCAATAACTTTCATGATCATAAAAGAACTGCGTTATTACATCAAATCAAGGTTAAAACGATGTCTCCTTCGATATCGCCGGATGTAGATTGTTCATCGTGCGATTCAAAAGAATTTTCTCTCCTATTATTGTGTCTACGATGGAATCGTAGTCGATAATTACGGATTCGCGAGTAACAAAAAAAGAAAGTAAAGAAAGAAAGAAAGAGAAAATAAAAGAAAACGAAAGGAAAGAAAATAACACGGTAACAACGTTTGCGGATCGCTAATCATTAATCAATACTCTCTTCTTACGGATGAGTTGGTCCCTTAGAATTTCGAGTATCTGACGAATAATTTATATTTGATCGACGTACATAAATTATTATTACGATCTTATTATTCATCGGAGATATTCCTAAAGCTTCCAAATTCGAGGTTGACCCTCTGGAGAATTTCTACGTGACCCGAAGGAAAATTCAGTTTCTTTCCATAAATCGGTAGATCAATCTTGCCGGTTTCTCCAAGTTCGTTCGACAGAATAAGAGGAAAGAGAAAAACTAGAAGATGAAGAAGAAGAAGAAGAGAGAGAGAGAGAAGGATCGTACGAACGAACGAACGAACGATGTATCAAATCGGATTCAATATCTCTCTTGACATTACGTAAAGATGCTATTTCTCGATTCGAGTTTGTCCTCTGTTTATCTCTCTCTTTCTTTCTTTCTTTCTCTCTCTCTCTCTCTCTCTCTCTCTCTCTTTCCTTTCTTATTCTTCTTTCGTTTTCTAGTAAATCCTATGACAACCGTTCGACCAAAGCTTCTTGCAAACGGTAAATTGAATAGCATAGCTATATTCGAGAAATATCCGTTATCGTTCGTTTCTCAATTTGGATTATCGTTGATTATACTTTAGAAAAGCTTCCAAACAGTTGTATCGCGCGACTATTTTCTAGCGAAAACTAACGCCTGATTTCTTCCTCGCCTCGTTCTTCCCTTATCATCATATCTTCAATTTTATCTCGCGTCTCTCTTTTCTCTCAGCAGGCAGGTGTATTAAGCGTGAAATTAAAACGAATAGGATCGTCAACGTCGCGTGTAAAGTTTAATTTAAAAAAGTAGGCCACGATAAACTGCTTCGTGTATGGCATCATAAACTTGGCATTATCTTAAAAAACGGGCCTCAAAGAAGTATAAATCCGATGTACGTTATTCCAACCAGACGACAGTCTCTTTTCCCTTCGGACCAGCGAGATGATTTTAAGCCCTCGATGAATAACGACCTTCAATTTTGCATAAATTTCTACTCTCTTTCTTAGCTGAAATCTATATTTTCGTCAACCTGTGACATCTTACGACAACAACAAGTCTTACCATTATCAAATTGAACAAGAAAAAATCATAATAATAGGATAGATAAAAGTTTACGTTTGAAATGAAAACCTTGGGAAAGATTTTCGTATTCGATTGGATCGATGAGACGATTTTCTTGTCGCGAATCGGCTTCCAGGATATAAAGCGCTTCTTTTCGCGAAACTGGGAATCAAAGAAAAAAAAAAAAAAAAGAAAAAGTCGAGAGAGGAAAGGAAAGTAGGAAAAAAGAATGAACGACCAGTGGATCAAACCGAATCCAATAACTCCCGTGGGATTACAACTCTGACCCGCGGGAGTCGATCGAGTTAGAAGACGAGAGGGATGAGGGATAAGGGCTGCCATTGATGTTGCTGGCGTTGCTGGCGTTGCTGGCGTCGCTGGTGGTCGAAGAAGTACGGAGTAAAGGAAGGAGAAACCCAACTCGTGGGGTTAACTCATTTCTAAGCTTCGGTGGTCGACGAGACTTGGCAGCCTTTACTATTTTGCGACGCAATAAACTACAATAACTCATAACGATTAATATTTCCTTTCGTTGCAATATTTCATTGTAAGAACATTATAATTTGATATAAAATGTTTTTCAATAGTATCAATTATTTATAATTTACACTAACGTGACTCATTATATGCAGAGAAGATATGTTCTAAGATTTGAATAGGCATTCCTTGATCTTCCATTAATAGATATCTATTTCGGTTCACATATGATATATGTATATATACACTATATATGTATATATATATATATATATATAGTATATATTATATATTATAATATGGTTGATGTTCAATTCACGTTCCACTTGCTATGGAATATCGAAATTAATAATATAATTAATTCAGTATTGATCGGAAATAATATAGCAATGGAAAATAGCTGAAACATTTGTATCGACTTTTCGTTGTCATTGCATGATTCGATTATGGTAGTATTTCTAAAGGTATTTTGAAAATTCGCCTTCTGTACTGTACTGTCCTATCGATTTTCCATTTTTGATGAAACACGCTTGGATAAATCTACGGGTGGTCTTGTTCAGGACGACACGGCGGAAGTATTTTCGAAGGAAAAGCTTGGAAAATCGGGAGGCGAGATATCAAAAGTACCAATGGCCATGGGCAAAGGTAAGAGCTAGCGGGCAAATGACGAAACACAAACGGTCGGTACTCAATCACGTCCGAGATAGGTACAACGATTTTCACGACGCGCTGCGTGAATTCTCCGCAAATTGAATTTTTACGAATGTGGTAGTCTTGTTCGCGAACAAATAGCACATATGTATCCACCTTTACTTACGTAACATATAAACACAAAGATATTTGAGCCCCTATTCGTATTTATCTATATATTTGAGAAGAAGGCGAAAAGTTTTCGTGAAGCGCGCACGCGCACACACACACACACACATATATATATATTTTTGTATGGTACAGAAAGAGAGATAGACGCTTCGGCAAGCAACGATAGGTATATAACTTATAAGCCTTTCGTAGGATTTTGACAAATCGTCCAAAACCTGTTTTCATTTCTCCCTCTTGTTCTCTCTTTCTCTTCCATTTTCTTTTTACCCTTTTCCTTTTGTCTTCTTTTTATATTCCTTCGTGATCCTCTTTTCTAGCCGAGGAAGAATTACCTCGGTGACCAGTGGCGTGCCACTAAATTCTCATAGCTTGTATCGGTAGAACTTTCCCAACGGTGCTAGTTCTCCTCTTTTCTACAGAATTCTTCATGTTTCTACTCATACTATATTTCTTGTTTTCTCTCTATCTCTTTACTTCTATACGAGTTTCCTTTGTTTCGAGCAGATCGTTTGTAAAATTCACTGACCTAGACCAAATACTAGTTCATAGTAAATTTGTATCAAGTTACAGAACATTTTCTTGTTCACTTAAATCTATAAGTTAAAAAACGAACGAAATCCTTTTAATAATCTTTCATCTCTTTTCTCATTACACTATTTTTGAATGAATAATAAAGAAACTTTGTTGTGAAAGTTCAGTCGTATTTACAATGTAAACCTTATAAATGTCTAAGCACCCATCCACGCTCGTTATCCATTATTTATGTATGAAATGTTCGGTGGAAATGCAGAAAGGCTTTTTCATCGATCGATTCTCATTACATGGTGTTTCGGTCCATATGTGTAAAATTGCGTTTTCATGTGTTTGTAAGCGTGTTTTTGTAAGTATAATACGTTCATGTTCAACATTATATGTACAAAAGTTAAGCGCGAACGTAAGTATTAATTTATGCATAGTTCAGCGAACATTTGTCACGAATATGCAATATACCCAAGGAGATGCACATTTAGGTCATGTACGCTATCGCTCATGAATTATCGACCGTTTACGTATGTGTACGTATCTATCTGTGTGTGCATATATATAAAGATATATATATATATATATATATATATACTGTCTATATAGGTTTAGTCTAATCATCAATCCACACACAGGTATTAATCGTCAACTGTTGTGATCAATGTTTCAAGATTTCTACTTTTCTTTTACTTGACGTAATTATTTAATTTAGTGCATAATTTTATATTTAAAAATGATGGAATAGAAATAACCGTTCTAACATTGTAAAACAGGATTTAATTGAAAATCGAACAGACGTATGTTAAAAAACTTGATCTTCTATTTTGGTATCATCTTATTTTTATTCAAATAAAACTATAAAAAATAAAATGAAAAATAATAAAACATTTATAGCGATATATAAATCGAAAGTTACTTACTAACTAACGTGAGGTAAGGTATACTGTGTTGAAAATGGGGTGAGCTGCAAGCTTCTTCCGGTCTTGAGATGGCACTTCCTGTTTGCACTTCTATCACGTGACCGTCTCTTCGATAAAATGCCATGCACATGTAACCGCTTCGACTGTGAAGAGTTTCAATCAGTTGAGATATAAAAAGTACGTGTATATAAAAATATACATTAAGGTTTCAAATAGTTTCGTTCGAATGAAAAATATCGAATCGAATCGTATTTGAAGACATATAAAATGATGACGTATAAAATAACAAGAATTTAGTAATTAGAATGTCATGAAAATTACCATCCAACAGTGAAGTGGGCAACCAGCATGGTCATAATCATACCGGGAGCAGTATTCGTCTGTTTGATAGTATTGCAGAGAATTTTAACGTCTTGATCCTCTTGTCCAGGAATATACTGTCCATCCAAAGAGCCACTATCAAACCTGGAGGAACTACCGTTTGATCGAGCTACGTGAAGGGAAGCGTTTCTAGGATGAAAGGTATAGGATCTTCCGAGATCTAGTGTATGCCATGTGAGTCCTCCGCTACTATGACCAGTCAACCAGTTCGGGAAACGGCATTCGCCTGGTGATGAGACTGTAACACAAACGGATCAAAGTCAAACTCTAGTATAGTAATAGAACCTTCATTAACGTTCTACTATCTGAACAGTGTAATTAATTATAGAACGTTCTGTCATTTCTATCGATTCTACTTTATCCAAATTTGTTTTGAATCGAACCCTCTTCGATCGAATGTATTATAATAATTACATATAATAAGAAAGTATAGAATATGAAACATGATAGGATAAAGATATATTATTTCGTACGTTCGATATTTGAAATGGAATCGTTAATGTCACTTTCTTTTTTCTTTTTTCTTTTTTTCAAATGTATAAAATGTAGAGGAAGAAAAGAGTTATTTCGGCCTTTCCGGACCGAGAAATGAGAGAAAAGGGTTAAGAAGGTCTAACGAAGGAAGGGGAGATGAAGGAACAGAGTAAAAGAAAGGAAAAGGAATTGAATAGAAAGGGTAGATGGAAGGGTAGATGGAAGGGTAGATGGAAGGGTAGATGGAAGGGTAGAGGGAAGGGTTGACAGAGTGCACGTTCGTTCGGCGGGTGCTTTTATGGCGCGTAAAAGCATTGTTGCACGACGTGGAAAAGAATGGAAATAATTCAGGCGCTCCTTCGATAAGTCCGTCGACGCGAGCGGCCGAAACACAAATTCCTCGATCGTAAAAATCGAATGGTGCTTTTTTGTCTCTATCTCTTTTTCTCTGTAGGTAAGTTGGTAGGTAGGTTGGTAGGTAGGTTGGTAGGTACCTTAGTAGATAGGTAGGTAGGTATAGCTAATTCGAATTTTAACGACGACGATAAAATTGTTCGAGGACATAGAAATGGCGGTATGAACTTTGCTGCTTTTCTTTATTACCGAGTTACGCCATAGTGTGCGTGGTGTCTCTAACGTACTATCTCTTTCTATCTATTTTTTCTTCTTATTTTCTTTCCACGATGGCAATTTCTATGGAGTTCATATTTAATGCACCGATTGATTATCTAGCAGCTAGAAGCGTGTCCATTTCACCGTCGGTCCATCACCGAACCATCTCTCTCTTTTGGTTCGTTGGTTCGTTCTTTTGGACGCGAAAGGTAGGCACTCTATATGCATTCGGTTGATATAATCGTTTAAGCGATCTTCGAACAACTCTGTCAGTTAGACTCTGCTGAATTATGTGAGGAAAAGGAAAATATGAGGGTACACCGCCGGCCGAGGCTCGATATTGAATTTTTCCAAAGAAAAATAAAATGCACGTATCGTCGAGTAGGATATACATGCAGCAGCAGCAGCAGCAGCAGCACGTGTACGTGAATAACAATAATAACATGCATGGGAATTTTGTTTTGAAATGATACTTTTTACGGTACGATAATACGAATTTATTATTGATTTTAATTTCTTCCCCTGACCTTTTTCGTTTTTGCTTTTTAACAAAGAAGAAGAAGAAGAAGAAGAAGAAAAAGAGAAGGCCCATCTTCTGTAAAACGTTTCTTATCCGTGGAAAAGCGGCATCCTTCTGTCTTTTTTTCTGTGTGGCTTTTCATTCGCTTCATAAACCTAATGTCTAGGAAGGAGAAACTCGCGATGCACCCGCAAAACTCGATATCTCGAGACGTGGCAATTTCTGTAACACCACTTTTTGCTAGGAAGAAAACGCTTCTTGGGTTCTGGTTACTCATCTACGAGATGACTTTCTCGCTTCCTGGCGCCCGACTTCTTCTTACAACCCACCTCCTCGAGCTTTTACGCTACCTTTCCTTTCTACTACGGAAGACAAGAGATTCCTGGCAGAGTTTCTGTGTTACAAGATCTCCTCCTGTCCACCCTTTTCCCTTTTCTTTTTTTCTCACCTTTTTTAATCCTCTTTTTGTTCCTTCATTTCCATCGTCGAGCATATTTTCTACGTTCGTAATAATGCATATTTTACAAATCGATTTTAACAGTGAAAGATAATACAATATATTTTGTTATTTTATTTAGACTTGATATATATCTAAAAAGCTCCTTGAATGAGTTTCCCTTTTTCTTTCTCATGCTCGTCCACTCGCAAGTTTTATCCGCGTGTCGTTGACTACTACGCATTCGACTTAAAACGATTCGTGAAAGAAAGTGGCAATTGTAGAGGACAGTGAGGAGAGAGAGAGAGAGAGAGAGAGAGAGAGAGAGAGAGAGAGAGAAAAACCACCGAAGTGGAATTCGTTAACGAAGTTTGCCTCGAGACAGTACGTATATATACTAAAATACGGGTTTGTAAACTGAAAATGAGGAGCTCGAGAGTAAGTAAAAATGAAGAAGATCGAAAGAAAGAAAGTAGAAAGAAGTTGAGTTTAGAACCGTGTAAATATTTCGTCTTTTTATATCGACGATATTTAGTTGCAATACGAGATCAGTTCGCATACTCGACGTGCGATCGTTTTATATATATCCAACCAACCATTCGGTTGGACCGATTAATCTGTCTAACGTTTAATTGAATGTATCGAGGTCACCTTTTTTCAAGGTCATCGTCCTGGAACCCTCCATAGCACTGAAAAGGCCATTGCAAGTAGCGTCGCCGCTTTGAGCCACCTGGTATATTTCCGCCGCGCCCTCGGATGATATCGGTCCTCCATTCGGTCCTCCATTCGGTCCTCCATTCGGTCCTCCATTCGGTCCTCCATTCGATCCTCCATTCGGTCCTACATTCGGTCCCCCATTCGGTCCTCCATTCGGTCCTCCATTCGGTAGGGTGACGTCGTGATCCATGCCGCCCATGCCCATGCCACCAGCTCTGTTTAGATTGGCCTGGACCGTCTGACTGGCCTTCTCGTAGACGAAGCATCGGTATCGATCTTCGTTGCTCGACGCGTGGTTGTGATGTAAACGGCCGACGAGGTACCGGCTGCTACCCTCCTTCCATGTGGCCAAGCACTCGAGCTCTTCCACTGGAAACGCAATGATTTACCTTATAACATAAGCCATCAAAGAAATTTCAATCTTCCTTCATTTATCACTAATTCAATATTTATCCAAACTATAACAAAATAAACGATTGATAACAATTCCAATGTTATGTATGTCCCTCGGTTAATACCACAACTTTGTTAATATTTACCCCCGACTCGTATTTATTTTATATAATTCATTTGTGCAAATAAAAACGAAACATTACATTTTCCAAACTTTGTTAACAAATGAAATATTTATTTATCATATATATTTTATAGTCATATTTTGATAAAATAAATATGTAAACGTTTGAAACGAATGAACAAACCGATAAGATACATACATGCAAACTTTCATCACTCTTTTATCGATTCATGATGATCGTTACGCAGACATATTGGTGTGAATAATTTTTATTGCTATATGAAAACCAATTCAAATTCCTTTCAATCGAATTCTAAATTAATTGTTATCTTTTATTGAAACTTATATCGCGCGAATAAATGTGGAAGAAGAATTTAATGTCACGTACAGAAAGAGAGGTGTATGTATGATTGATGCTAGAAAATATTTCACGACAATTTTTTGTTGCCTCGTCGTCTAGAGCAAAAGCCGACGACGATTTTCCGTTAATGACAAGATTTTCACATCTTGGCAAGACAAGAACGACGCACAAAAGATATTTCCTTCATGTACCATCGAGAATCATAAACCCTGTGACTGAGAGTCTCTGTAACCGATCGCGAAAGAACTTTTACGGAAGTGTAAACGAATGGCTGGAACTATCTGTAAAAGAAAAAAGAAAGAAAAATAGAGTGGAAAAACGAAATGGAACTAGACGAATGAGAGAATGGGTGAGAGATGAAAAGAGAGAAAGTAACAAGAAAGAAAGGGAAGTTGAAAGTCCGAGGAGTCGAAAGGAGAAATCGAGTCGAGAGGAGTGACCAGAGAAAGAAAGAAAGAAAGAAAGAAAGAAAGAAAGAAAGAAAGAAAGAGAAAAATTTCCGGCTAAAAAACGATACCCCGATTTGAAGCTGTCGCCGCAGGATCGTTCGGGATCGTACTTTTCTGGAACGGTGAAAGATCCTTTGTAGAAAAGAGACGACGAAAGAAACCAACAATTATCGGTTCGGTAACGAAGTCGCCTCGAGGCTTCGACCGATGAGAACGAGAAGAAGAGAGTGCAAAGAGCGAGATCTTATCATCCTCTATCGCCACCTCTACCATCATCATTGGCACGACTACCTTTTCCTTTTCCTTTTCCTTTTCCTTTTCTTCTTTCATTCATCTCTTTCTCTCTCTCTCTCTCTCTCTCTCTCTCTCTCTTTCTCCCTCTTTTATTTCCTTCCGCTCGTTCTTCGAAATCCAGGCTATCCCGAAGAGCCGCGTATCTAAATCACATCTTCTACTTCTTTCTTTTCCTTTCTTTACCCTCTTGCCCCTTTAGCCTCCCTTTTTGATCCTACCGAATGACGTCGCGAGCAATTTGCGAAGAGCCAAACGAAAAAACCGTCATCTCGTACCCTTTTTACATCGAGGAGGAGATTTTCTCTCGTACTCTATAAGGATATGTTTGTTCCTGGCACGTAAAGGATCGTGTCGCGTGTTAAAAAGAGAGAGAGAGAGAAAGAGAGAGAGAGAGGTCTTTTAGATTCCAGCAAGAGAATTACGGTCGGTAGCACTTCATCGAAAACGGCACGTTATTACCTTTCTAAATGAGATTCGTCAGTTGGTAACTTGGAGGTTATAACAAATTGGTACATAGCTCTGTACTCGTATATTATATCGTACGTTTGTATCGATTTCTAAGTATCACGTTAGTTGTATATTTTTGTCGTTTTTGTCGTTTTCGTCGTTTTTGTCGTTTTTTTGTTGGTCCAATTTTATATTTGGCTATGGTGCAATTAGAGTGCACGCATTTGAACGAATCGACGCGTGTAAAGAGATCGAGCGGGTGTTTGGGTGATCGCGAGGGTCACATCGAAGCGTAGAGGCAATTTGATTTTTGAAAATTCGTCGTCCAACCGTAGCAAGCGTCGAGCTTCGCCACAAAGCGCTGGTTAAAAGTACGTTTCAGGCCGGTTACATTTCGCATCAAATTGTTTTCATTTTGGCTGGACGTTCGGTCGAAAACGCGCGGTTAAAGCGTATCGACGTTAAATCGAATCACCACCGAGGAAAAATGCAAATGCGAAAGATCTCTCTCTTTCTCTTTCTCTTTCTCTCTTTTTCTCTCTCGATTGCCCGTTCGTCGTTTCGCTCTCGCGTATTCCGTATTCGCCTCTTCATTGATCTGTTCGTGTTTATACTCGTGGTATTTACACGTTATATATTGCTTTATTTATTCTACTTCTATGTCGGAATTTTACTTAAATAATATCGATTCGAATTTCTAACGGAAACGAAATAAAATATTATTGTAATGCGTCTTTTGTAGAAATTAATTTAAAGATAAAATTATCGATAAAATTCTCTTTGATCCCGTCCAGTTATTTTATTCACCGTATCATTCTATCGTAAAAGATGCACGTCTATTTACTATTTTTTAAAGAAAGATAAAACGAACAAAATGTTGGCTTCGTTCCAATGTATAAATCTCTGTACCTTTCAAATCGAGTGGGTGGGATGTTCGTTAACAGGACAAAAGCGATGGGGTTGATCTTCTTCGTCTTACGTTCTTCGAGACATTTAGCTCGGTAACCGCCCTCGATTTCTCGATCTATAGGATGCGACACGAAATCGTTAATCTCGAGGTCGTCGAGTCCTTACCAAGTCATTCCCGATAAGAGAATCTGTAGAGAAGCCTTCTACGAGATGCGATTTATCTTCTATACCCCTCTCTCTCTCTCTCTCTCTCGCAGTTCTGCTAACCCTTCGACGGTTACTTTTCGCTTAACTCGCTTTTGAGAATATCCTGATGGTGTAGTACGAAAATATTTGATCAAAGCTACGAACGTAGCGAACGTAGACGTTTTTTTTTCGTCTCTATTTTTATTCTATTGTTCTAATTGTTTATTACTTACCAGCACTTTCAGAGGCGGAGACATCCGGACAAGCTTGATACCTGAAAAGGAGTCGACTATCGTCCGTGCACGTGTCAACGTTGCTTTGCGGAATGGAACAAGTACCATGACCCCGATTATACGAGAAAGTCATTGGTCCTCGAAAGGGACATGGTACCGGGAGTGCCTCCTCGCGAAACATGGAGTACAGAAGTGCATCGCCAGTGATGTACGAGCATAAAGACGACAAGGAGTTTCTAGTGTGGCAGTAAGCTGCGAACAGAAATTAATCTTCCATTTATCTTACAGTTTGTATATGCATGCTTAGTATTGTACAACTAACTTAATATTTCTAACAAATACTCTAATAGAATTATTCAAATAGTATTATTATCTATCTCTCTTGGAAAATAACGAATGAAACTTTGAGTTTTTTTTATCGTCGAGTTAAACCTGTGCTTGGGTTTTAAACCTGTCCGACAATGATTAGAATGAAATATCTCTTCTTCATACGTCTGCCATCAAAATGGTAAAGAATTTTAATCGCGAGACCGAGCGAAAAGTAAAAAATTCTTCTATCGTTTATGCCGCGAGCAAAAAGCGTCTCGCTTTTGAATATTTTCTCTGGAAAGTACATATGGTCCATATATATATTATATATATACATGGAAACGTAGATACGAGCGCGTAAATGAAAAGTTGCCGAGGTGTCTTTTCACGGTCGGAACGATTTTACGATACGATGATATCGATCGTCGTTTGGAGAGAACATTAACCAGGGCGTTCGACAAACTTTCAAAGAAGGCACGTTCGATTTTCATGGCTTTAAAAGGTAGGATGATGATATTATATTAGGACACGATTCGAGAAAACATTAACCTATATTTTCAAACTTTCCTCTCTAGATTTGTTTTTGTTTTCCTTCGACCGTGAAAACTTCATTAAATCGCTATAAATACTTTTTCAAATGACGATTATTTAAATGTTGTCTGCCATTTATAGAACTTTCGAGCTTTTTAATAGCACCGGCGACTAGTTTGCTTTGTTTCGTTATTTCGTTTCGAATGAAATGAGAATTATCGAAGGATCTCGTAGCTCTCTAACTCATTTAGATTTACATATATAAACGTCGGATTTCGTAGCATACGCGTAATAAAGCTGGTTAATTAAGATTAATGTTTTGGAGTAAAAGTCGAGATGGTCGCGCGCTAAACCATAGCTACGCTCGCATACATAAATGTTGCGTGTAATAACGGCACAAGTGCGCTAATTACCGCACTAATGTAAGCTCGTTTAGATCGTGACTAAAAGAAAAAAAAAAAAAAAAAAAAAAAAAAAA